TGCAGCGTTTAAGTCATCCAACTGCTTCCTTTGCAGGTTGCCTGGAAGGGCTGATGAGGGCCCCGGGGTGCGAGCGGGGAACTGGGGAACGCACCCGCCTCTCGGCGCATCAGACACCCCCCAGGAGCCTGGGGTGGCCAGCGACCCCCGGGGATGGAGAGAGCAGGGCACGGGCTGGCAGCCGGCTCCAGGGGCCGCGGTCCCGCGTAAGCTCAGATGGGCGCGCTCTTGAGCAGATGTCTGTGAGCCTTCTCGAATTCCTTCTGGAACTGGCACAGTCCCTCCAGCAGGGGCTCCTGGAGGGGCGCCCCCTCGGAGCCCTGCCCGCGGCTGATCGGCGTCTCCCGCGCGGCCCGCAGCAGGCTGCGCTGCCGGGGGTCCCGGTAGGCCGGGTACCTGTAGGAGCGGCCCTCGTTTTCCCACAGGACGCCGTCCACCATCTGCAGCAGCTCCCGCACCTGCGCCTCCTGCCGGGCGCCGGCCGCCGCGTTGTCGAAGGCACAGTGGCGCCGCGCGCACAGCGCGTCCAGCTGGGCCAGGTGCTGGTTGTCGGTGGCCCGCACGTACTCCTCCAGGGAGCCGCCCTCCAGGTCCTCCTTGCGCGTGAACACCAGCACCGTGTGCGCCAGGACGCCCACCCCGAAGGCCTCCTGCAGGCGCCGCACGACCCGCCGGTCCTCGTCGGTGAAGCGGCCCAGCTGCGTCACCAGCAGCAGGGCGTGCGGCCCGGGCGCCGAGAAGGCCACCGCCTCGCAGATGGCCCTTGTCGCCGCCTCCGGCCCGGCCCGCGGGGACAGGATGTCGGGGGTGTCGATCACCTCGAGCTCCCGCCCGGCCCAGCCGCGGCTGCCCCGCTGGAGGGTCAGGGTCACCGGTCGAGTGCTGAGTTTAGACTCGAACTCTCTCCGGCCCAGGATGCTGTTTCCGGTGGCGCTTTTCCCGCTGCCCGTTTTGCCCACCAGGAGCAGCCTCAGTGTCCGCGGGCTGCGTGGCTCCTCCCCCAGGCCTAGAAGCACCGAGACAAAGCACAGGGGGCTGGGGTTAGAGCCGTGCGCGGTGGGGGTGGGAGAGGCGAGGACCCGGGTCTGCACCCGAGACCGGCGGGGGCTCACGTCCTGTCTTGCCTTTTTTTTTTTTTTTTT